GTGCTTGTCAATTCTGTTTGTTTCAGGATCAGATGCATTTTCCTCCCAGCATTATATTGGGAGATTGCAGCCCCTCCCAACCTCTTGCGCTCTTGCTTTTTAATTTTATCCGTGTGCCCAATTTTGGAGCCAGCCCTTCTGAATCTCTTGGCCAATCAAGAGACCACACATTGTTGCCTAAGAGACCCCGGATGCCAGCGAAAGGGTTTATAGATGGTGATTGGACTACTGACTGGAAAGAAGGGTGGGGGCTGGACAGAGTCAAAGGAAAAGCTGCCATGGCAACACCAGAGCTTGAGGCCTGAAGAAGGAGATGAGCTAAAGAGGTGAGAGCAGTGGGCAGTGCATGAAAAAGATGGAGACTTTTTTGAGAGCTCCATTCTAAGATCCTCCTGGGCCTCTCGCAAGCCTTGTTAGTGTTCCTGGGGATTACATTTCGCTCCGTTTCAGCTGCAGTTAAAGTACCAGATGCCTCGTACTTGCGAAATTAACAACAACAATTAATTATTTCTATACCTAGCAAACACTCGCTCTTTGTATTGCAGTATAGTTTTTGCTTTGTCTCTACCCAGTTGAATGAAAGATGAATTCGTATTTAAATCTGACTATACCTTGTTGCCTGATAATTTCCTGATACTATCTGAGATCTTCTTCTCTGATGATACTGCAGTGCACAATGAGTTGTGTGTTGGCAGAGAAACTCAATCTTATTCTCCGTGTATTCCAAATAAAAATCCGATAACCTTGAGTATAATTCCAGTGCTCAACTCATAATGTTCTGAGTTTTATCCTACATTCCTATTAGTTTTCGTCTTTAAACTGCTTCCCCACTATTGTATTCATTCAGTTGATTTAACAAATATTTGAGTACCAATTATGTAGTGCTGGGATTCAGATTCAGGTGAGCAATGTAAGAAAATGACATGAGCCAAGAAGCCTCAGAATTTTGTACTAGTTGTTTTGTACCAAAGTTCAGTGTGTCTGGGTGGATAGTGCATGGTGTGAGGGGCTGGGAGATGAGGCTGAAAAGGTCAATTGAGGTAAATTCTTAGTGGACCTAGACTTCCATGCTAAGGAGTCTGGTTATGCTGTAGCCCTCAGAGAGCCTCTGAAGGTTTTTGAGCTGAAAAGTGACACAATCAACTGGTCCTTCAAAAAATACTTCCATTAGTAGAATGGTGGTTACCAGAGGCTGGGGGATGGGGAAAATGGGGAAACATTGATCAAAGGGTACAAACTTTCAGTTATAAATAAGATGAGTAAGTTCTGGAGATCTAATGTCCAGCATGGTGACTATAATTAATAATAATGTTTTATACTTGAAACCTACTGAGTAGATCTCAAGTGTTCTCACCACACACACACACACACACACAAATGGTAGCTATGGGAGATGATGGATGAATAATACTTTGTAATCATTTCACAAGATATACATACACCAAAACATTAAGTTGTACATCTTAATTACATACAATTTTTATTTGTAAAAAATAAAACAAAAAAGCAACCCTTTCTGACAGTAGATTGCATGGTATATTAAAGCAGAGACTCTTATCTTTGTACCCCCTAACTCAGGGCTAATAGGTCCTTAGTATAATTGAATAATGGTGACAGTGTGAAGAATGGCTCAGAAAATGGGATTGGAGATTTGTGACCACTGTAACTTTACCAGAGGACCCATCCTTGCTGTTGGACATGGAACTAGAACCATACCACACATTGGGGTTAGGGCCAAAGACCCTCTATCTTCCTTTTTATTCAAAGAAAACTTAAAGGTCAACATTCCAGGATAGCAATTAAGGTGGAAAGAGGTCACACACACACACACACACACACACACACACACACACACACACACCAGCAAGCTTTATATGTGTAAGGAGAGGAAGACAACTTGCTTTGTCTTGATGAAAGAGTGGGGATAGTTATTTCTTGTGCATGTTATATACAAGTGTCTGTCTTTGTAATAGTACTGAGTGTTTATACCATGAACATGTGTGTGCATGCAGATATGTATACTGCCCATCTGGAATGGAAGGAGGAGGAAAAAAACACAAAAGGATAATGATGAAGGCAAGGGCAGGACAACCCCATTTGAATGCTTCAGCAGAACTGTATTACCAAGAGGGCTGTTTCTCCTGGCCAGACCTATCTCCTTAAAGCCAAGTTAATTGAAGAGAAGCTAATTTAAATAATTTCTAGCTGTTAGGCACCAGGAAAAAGAGAATAGCCAGTGCAGGGCCTTAGGGAGGCCCAAGAGAAGTTACTTTGCCCTAATTCAGAAATTGTACCTAGCTTGTTTCCTATACAAACGAAAGTTCTCAGCTTACCGCAGGAATTTTTCACCTGGGGTGAGCAAAATGTTATATTCATGTGCATTTTTCTACAGAAAGGATTCCTAGCTGTTATCATATTCTCAAATATCTTTATGGCCCTCAAAAAAAAAAAGATTAAAAATAACAACTGGTTTAAAGAGAAAAAAGGTCAGACATAAATAAGAACAATACAAAAAGAAATATGTAATTTTTAACTGGGCGGATCTAGGCTCTGAGACCATGCTTTGTATCTATAATTTGCCCACTCACGTACTTTTATAGCTGCCAATTAATAATACTGTAATGAAATAATTTCCTATACCTTTTGCAATTTGGCTAAACATGTGTGATTCAGATAATTAGCTGTTAGAGGTAGGGAAGAACGTGAGTGCTGATCTGGGTCCTCTTTATATCAGTGGTATGGTGGCAGTAGGCTACTGCCAAGAAGGAATTGTGTAATGATGACCTTGTGGTTTTAAAATATTGGCTTTCTCTTCAGCTATAACTCAACCCTAAGAGAGAATATTACCTGTCGAGTGAAAACCTCAAAGATTTCAGATCTAGCATTTGGGGGAGCCCCATATCAGCCTAAAAGTAATGTTTTTTTTTTAATTGTCCGAATTGTCCAGCCTTTGCTACCATAGAATAATTTTTGGAGCCCATAAATCAGGCACGCAAGCCCTAGCTTCCTCGGTCACTACTGCTTTTTAATATGCAACCCATCTTTAAAGAACAAGGAAGGCAGAAGCAAACAGAAACACTGAGGATATATATTGAAACTACCATCAGTCTGCTTCAAATGGTTTCCACCTTAAAATATTTTGCTATGGCTCTCTAATGGGTTTCGAGACACTCTGTAAATGACAGGAAGTTCTAAGAAAGGTTGCAAGGAAGCTACCACTTCTTGAGACCGCTCATCTGTCAGACACTCTGCTGGACCAGTTTAATCTTCAAAACAGCGGTTGATGGTAGATGCAGATAGATTAAATGCTCACATAGATTGGGGGTCCCTGTGTGGCTCATGCAGTTAAGCATCCAACTCTTAATATCTGCTAAAGTCATGATCTCATGGTTCATGAGTTCACGCCCCAAGTTGGGCTCTGCGCTGACAGTGCAGACCCTGCTTGGGATCCTCTCTCTCCCTCTCTCTGCCCCTACCCTTCTCTCTCTGTCTCTCAAAATAAATAAATAAACATTTTTATGACATGCTCAGATAGATCGAATAACTTGTAAAAAGTTATACAGCTAGTAGGTTTTAGAGCCAGGATCAAACTTGTATGAGGTAAAAAGTTTTGTAATTTTTTAATGTAAGCAAATGTAATATTTTCAATGAAGCAAATAAGTGAAAGAGGAAATTTATTGCAAGAATATCAGGTGGCTCACAAAATGGACAAGAAAAGACAGGGGGCTTCTGAGGGGTGAGGCAGTGGGAGCAAATTAACAGAACATCAGTGCTATTGTGAACAACCCTTCAGTTGTTAGGTAAGGATGAACTAGCACCAGTCCAGCTGGCCTAGCTTGGTCTTATGACCCCATCTTGCCTGGGAAAGGGGAAGCCACCTTGATGAACCAACCCAGCAGACTCTAAACAATGAGAAGAAAGTAATTCTTCATGGAAATTAAAGGGTTTGTTTTCTTTTTTAATTTTTTTAATGTTTATTTATTTTTGAGAGAGACAGAGCGCGAGCAGGGGAGGAGCAGAGAGAGAGGGAGACACAGAATCCGAAACAGGCTCCAGGCTCCGAGCTGTCAGCACGGAGCCCGACATGGGGCTCAAACTCACAAACTGTGAGATCATGACCTGAGCCGAAGCCGGACACTTAACCAACCGAGCCACCCAGGCACCCCTAAAGGGTTTTAATCAAATGAAGGCAGACATATACTGGGCATCTAAAAATAGCACATTTTCCAACCCAAATCTGTCCATCTCTAAAGGCTTGGCTTTGTCCATTATACCATTCTACTTTTTTTTTAAATTTATTTATTTTGAGAGAGAGAGGGAGACAAAGTGCACATAAGCAGGGAGGGGCAGAGAGAGAGAACGAGAGAGAATCCCAAGCAGGCTCCACACTCAGCGCAGAACCTGACACAGGGCTTGATCCCACAACCCTGGGATCATGAGCTGAGCCAAAAGCAAGAGTCGGACACTTAACTGACTGCACCACCTAGGTGCCCTTACACCATTCTACTTCTTAAATATGGTGTCAAGCTAGAACCCTTGTTACTTAGAGATCAGAAGGAGGAGAGGAAGAAAGACACAGGGGTAAAGATGGAGTGCTTTATACTGCACTATGGTTTTATAAGTTAAAATATTTCTTTCTGGCAAATGGGGTATATTTTTACCTGGGAATGATTTTAAACAGACCTGATCTGATTTCTAGTTCCAGCAGTTCCTGCTTCTGTAAACTTTGGCAGGGTGTGTAACTTTGGTGAGCCTCATTTTCTTCATGTGTAAAATGGGCTAAAATCTACAACCTCACCAGATTGTTGTGAGCTTTAATTAAGCATGCATGTAAAGTGCTTGACATGTAAAATGATCCCAGTAAATGTTCTTCCCCCCATTTCCCTCTTTCAACATACTAAAAGATGGTATGGTATTAGTATTTTTCATATTCTGAAGATTATATGATTCATTTCTTGTGATAGGTATGGTTTTTCTTATGGAAAGTATTCAGTTATTTCATGATGGCATTTGCACCTCCAAAAAGCATAGATGGCCCCAAAATGCAGACAAAGATGAGTACCTGGACACCCCTAAACCATCAGCTTTTGAATGACCGGGTAAGTGACCAGAACTATTTTATCAATGAATCCATGCCTTAAGGCGGGGGGGGGAGAGTATTAAAATGTTAGTATCAAAATATGAACAGGAATTGTTTAGGATTGTGTAATGGGTTAAAATAAAAGACAGATGTAGGATTTTTTTCCAAAAGCTTTTATTGAGCTCTTGCTATATGGGCAAAGCTGGTTGTAGACAGAATCTTTGCCCATGATGAAAATGTCTTAGATTTGCTCTTTCCTCTACTGTCGCTGCTCCTCTCTCTCTCATCCAAGTGCCTTTTTTCTCCCATCACTGGTTCTCTGCTGGAATAGCCAGGAATGAGAGAGAAGAGGGTACTCTGTGAGGAGTTCCCCAAAAAGATTTTCTTGTTATAGTTGCGGTTACTGGATAATGGTGAACATTTAACCAAATAAATAAAATGAGTAAATCTCAACTGATGACTCACATTACTAGGCTTCTCCTAAAAAGTTTCTTTCTTACCTGCATTCTGGGGAAGCACGAGTAGAATACACCAAAGGATTGCAGAGATGGGAAGCTGAGTATCATGCTGGGGTGTGAGATTGGCCAGCCTCTGGGGATTTCCATTCCTGCTTCAGTTGGAGGCAGAATTTACCAACAGGCCTGTGAGCTCCTATTATCAATACCTAGTCCAAGGACCACACCTCGTTGGCAGTAAAATACAATCAACATCAATAAAACTGACTTCATTATCTTGCTCCTACACACCAGTTCCTCCTCCTGGTAAAAGGCATCACTTTACACCAAGTCACTCGAGCCAGAAATCATCCTTCTCCCTGCCAGCTCTGGGTTGGTTTTCTCCAATTTACAAGCTCATAACTTAGCCTGTTATTGATGGCATAGAAGACATTACTGTTTCATAGTAAAACACAAGATTCTTGGAGAGACAAAGAACTTCGTTACTCACAGTGCAGCAAGCAGCTATAGCATCATGTTTGCATTATTTCTTGCCCACCTTGTCCCACAAGAATGCTATAGAAGGCCCAGAAAAATACTACACACCATGGATTTGTAGTACAAACCCTTACTGAGGAACAGTAAACCCACTGCTTTTCTTTCTTTCTTTTTTTTTGATCCAAGTTAGTTAACATATAGTGTAATAATGATTTCAGGAATAGAATTTAGTGATTCATCACTTACATATAACACCCAGTGCTCATCCCAAGTGCCCTCCTTAATGCCCATCACCCATTTAGCCCATCCCCCCCACCCAACACCCCACCAGCAACCCTTAGTTTGTTCTCTGTATTTAAGAGTCTCTTATGGGTTGTCTCCCTGTTTTTGTCTTATTTTTGCTTCCCTTCCCTTATGTTCATCTGTTTTGTTTCTTACATTCCTTATATGAGTGAAATCATATGATATTTGTCTTTCTCTGACTGACTTATCTCGCTTAGCATAATACACTCTCATTCCATCTATATTGTTGCAAATGGCAAGATTTCATTCTTTTTGATCACCAAGTAATATTCTGTTGTATATGTATATACCACATCTTCTTTATTCATTTATCAGTCAATGGACATTTGGGCTCTTTCCATACTTTGGCTATCATCGATAGCACTGCTATAAACATTGGGGTCATGTGCCCCTTTTAATCAGCATTTTTGTATCCTTTGGATAAATACCTAGTAGTGCAGTTGCTAGGTCAGAGGGTAGTTCTGTTTTTAATTTTTTGAGGAACCTCTATACTGTTTTTCAGAGTGGCTGTACTAGTTTGGAAGGAATCCATTGCTTTTGTAGTAAGCAGTAAGCAAGTCTGCTCTTGGTCCCAAAAGGAGACAGTACCTCATTACTCAAAGTTGCCTTGCTCCAAACATAACTTGGAGAAATGGCCCAAGGAAAGAGCAATGACTCTCAGTATTCCAACACATTTAGGAGTATGAGAGGGAGGCCCAGGGAGCTATGTCTTCCAGCACCCCCTCATTTCCATATCCAATTCATTTTCAAGTTCTAGGAGACTTCCTTTTCATCCAGGCCTCTCTCCATTATTCATCTATATGCCTCCAGCTTCACCTTGTCAGTTCACACTCTCATCACCCTTTGCCTGATGCAGTGCTGTAACCCCTAACTGGCTTCACTCCCTCTAGTCCTACCAGTCCATCTTCTGCACTGGTCCCAGGATGATTTTTCTAAAATACCAAACTAAAAAAATTAAACATAAATAAAATTTTAAAGTAAAATACCAAGCTAATCCTATTATGTAAAACTGATAACACACCCTGCTCCAAAGAGTAAATTCCAAACCCCTACACATAGCATTGAGGATCTTTCTTAAGTTGACCTCAACCAACCTCTCAGTTCCTACCCCTGTCACTGCTTCCTCCCATCCTATGTCCAGGCTAACTAAGTGGCCTCCAGATGAGCCATTGTTGCCCCTCTAAGCACTAACTCCAATATGATTTTCTCTGGAAAGCCTTCTCCTGCTTGCTTTTCTTTGCTCTCATCACTGTTTACCAACTTTCCCACTCAACTGCAATGTGTTGAGTTGAGATTCTGTCTTTTCTCTCTGTATTTCCAGTGCCTGATAACATTCCTGAAGCACAAAAGATGGAGTCAGAATTCAGCCATCCTCCCTGGGACCTCCTTCAACTGACTCTCTTGCCTTCTAGTCCCTAAATCCCTCCTTTCTTAGTCTGGATTTGACCCTTGCCCTCTAAACCTAACTGATGTGCTAATCACTCTGGCAAAGCAAGAGATTCAGTCCTGACCCCTCCTGTTCAGTACTTTCCTGTTTCTACTCTTCTGGTGTGAAACCTGAGTGACTTTGGGAGACAGATAAGCAGCCAGCACAGCAATCAGAACAGTGAGAAAAGGGAGAGAGACTGAAAAGGAAAAAGATTTTTTAAAAAGTGAGGAAAGAAGAATGAGACATAGAATAAAAGGAGGGACCAGGAGAAACAAAAGGAAGGCAGAGAATGAGAAAGAGAAATCCAGCCTTCATCTGGCCATGAACACAAGTCTATTGGGAGCATTTTTTATTCAGCTCAACAACTGTTTATTGAGCACCTGTTTGTAAATGTTCTTAACTTTCCAACAGTTTATATAACAGCTTCTCTGCTTTCCCCCCTAAAAGTTCAATGTTTAGATTTGAAATCTGTTTCCACATAGAATTGTGAAGATTTTACACATATGTGAAAAAGTGACTTGAATTGAAATACATATTTGTTGGATGCCTTGATTTTCAGAAATTTTCTTTGAAAAATTGGAAGTCTTGATCGATTTAGCAGCTATGGAGAAAAAAAGTATCTTAGTTGCCTGATTGCCTGTTGCAGGTTGGTTTACTAGAGAAGCAGACTCTGGTATAGCATATAGAGCATCCACTGTGGAAGGCTTTCTGGATCAGCACTAAGGAAGGGAAAGGAGTAGAGGTAGGTGAGGGGGGAAAGGGAGGAGAAGGGAGAGAAGGTCGCAAGTTTGAGGCCTGGCACTGTAGCCACCAGCCTTTATACTTCCATACTGGAGTGCCTAGCTGGCTCAGTCAGTGGAGCATCCTACCCTTGATCTTAGGGTCATGAGTTGGAGTCCCACACTGGGTGTAGAAATCACATACATACACTTCTACACCGACCATTCAGTAGATGCTAGCTGCCCCATGGAAGAGCCTGACCTTGGACAAAGCAGAGCTCTCAACCTCATGGTTAACAGCCAGCAGCACTCCCCAACAGGTGGAATAAACCCAGGGCAGTACATCACAGCAAGCATTACATTGTCTTATCTTGATCTTTGAAAAGCTTTTGTCTAGAAATGATAATTTCTAGAGATAATATTTATTTTGTTCCTTACAGCTCTCATTTTTTACCACAAATTACTTTTCGGTTTAGATTTTAGTTTGGAGTAAAATTATTTTTTTAAATTTTTTTTTTTTTCAACGTTTATTTATTTTTGGGACAGAGAGAGACAGAGCATGAACGGGCGAGGGGCAGAGAGAGAGGGAGACACAGCATCGGAAACAGGCTCCAGGCTCTGAGCCATCAGCCCAGAGCCTGACGCGGGGCTCGAACTCACGGACCGCGAGATCGTGACCTGGCTGAAGTCGGACGCTTAACCGACTGTGCCACCCAGGCGCCCCTAAAATTATTTTTTTAAATCTTTGCATGTGTATATACACATATGTATCTATTTATATAAATGTGCATAGACACACACATAAAATTTGTATATGGGTATACCAAACTATTAATAGTCGTTTCCCCCAAAGAGGTGGATGGCACTGGGGGAGGTGGTCCTGTAAAATGAAAGCTTTCATTTTTTGCTTTACATAGTGCAATAAAATTACAAATCTTAAAACAATTTTAAAATTATGTAAATAAAAATAAAGAACAGTAACTCTGTGAATTGGAAATTCTGGTTTCAGATCACCGATAATTTCCTGCATGACTTGAATAAGTCACTTACTTTCTCTGGGTTTTACCATCATCCTTTATAAAATGAGTATGTTCAAAAAAAATAAAATGAGTATGTTCGACCAGATTACCTTGGAGGTTGCTTCCAGATCTAACATTCTAACTGTGCAAAAGGTATTAAAAAACAGATACCAAGGATACAGCTGGCCAGAAGGTGTCCACACAATAATTTCAAGGAAAGAAATTCTTTTTTTTTTTTTTTAATGATTATTTTTTTTGAGAGATGGAGAAAGCATGAGCAGGGGAGGGGCAGAGAGAGAAAGGGAGAGAGAGAAACCCAAGCAGGCTCTATGCTGTCAGTGCAGAGCCCAGCACCGGGCTTGATCCCACAAACCATGAGTTCATGACCTGAGCCAAAACCAAAAATCAGACGCTTAACCCACTGAGCCATCCAGGTGCCCCTCTACACTTCTAAAACAGGGCATTTGTCATCAATGACCACTGTAATTTTGAGGTCCTGTTTTCTGTTTTTGTTTTAATTTTGTCTTTCTTCAATTCTGTAGTAAAATGTAAAAGACATAACTATTTCAGACTGAAACAGGATCATAGACTTTTTTTTAAGTTTTTATTTAAATTCCGGTTAGTTAACATACAGTGTAATATTAGTTTCAGGGGTACAATATAGTGATTCAACACTTCCATACAACACTTGGTGCTCATTGGGTCACGGGATTTTAACTTCACAGCAGACTTTAAGCAGAGAGATTGAATTCAAATTTGGGTGTCTAAAAAATAGCATGATCAGCATAGGCAAATGTAACAGATTTCAAATTAATTTAGGCATTATGATTTTTGAGAGGAAGAATGTTTTAAACATACACATTTCTTTGCCATCTAGTGTTTTTTTTTTTAATTTTCTTTTTTTTTTTAAGTTCATTTAATTTATTTTTGAGAGAGAGAGAGAGAGAGAGAGCAAGCCAGGGGAGGGGCAGAGATAGAGAGGAGAGAGAGAATGCCAAACAGGTTCTGCACTGTCTGTGCAGAGCCCAATACGAGGCAAAGCTGAAACCAAGAGTCAGATGCTTAACAGACTGAGCTACCCAGGCGCTCCACCATCTAGCGTTTTAATTGAAAGTAACCAACATTTCTTTTCAAGTACGGTTTACAAATGTAGTACAGTACATGTTAAAAGGGTGTTCTGAGAAAAACACCTAGTTGCCATCAATCAGTCATAATTTAGGAGCCCCTAAATGTCTTACTCCTACACTGTAATGATGTCACATGGTGAAATATGTAACTTCAGTGTCAACAGACTAAAATACAACCGTAGGATTTTGACTTAACAGCAGGCTCTGAGTAAACTGTGATATAAACAGACTGCAGTGTTCTGCGAGGAAAGAAGATCCATTTTAATATTTCTATTTTGAGTCAATACTTTGTTTTCCAGCTCTTTAAGACGATGAACCTGATTGCAAATCTTGGGAATGAAGACTTGCTCCAAACCAGAGAGTATAAGATTCTGAGTCTGACCGAGGACCTGACAAATAGCATGTCCCAAATTATATTTCTTGCAAGGGTAGAACAAGAACCATATCTGAGCTTGTCTAGTGGTTTTCCTCTCCCCACTCATTCCCATCAGTTTCTACTTGGGTCTAGATGCCTTTGGTAAGAACTGGATTTGCTTGGACCCGCTTAGACTTGGTCATTGGCCCTCTAAAGACTATTGTTTTAGCCTGAGTGACACTCCCCACCTCCCACCCCATTCCTTTCCTCCTACCTTCTTGCTGACTCTTCTCTCCCCTTCAAGTCAGTGCCCCTTTGTTTCTAAATGCCCCGTATTGTCATTGGGCACCATGATGGTCATCTCATCCTCCTTTTGAAAGGAGGTTGTGGTCTTGGAATCTAACCTTTTCTTATTCCCACTGTAAGGCCCAAGTATGGGCAGCAGTTCATTGTGAAAATAGGACTGGGAGTCAGGACAGGGGAGACCAAGGTTTAGTGAGGAACCCAGTACAGAGTTGAGCTGAACAGACAGACTGGAACCAGTGATTCTTAAAAAATTATAAATGTAATCCTTCAGGCCTCTGCTTGTCCTCTCTAACATAAGGAAATGAAAAGCTCTTAGGGATTCCTTTTAGCTCTAAAATTCTATGACTTTTGAAGCTTTTTTATTGTTGTTCAATCAGCAGATGCTCGTTGAGGGCCTGCCATGCAACCCATACAGATTATAGAGAAATTTGTAATCCACATGGGAACATAAAATGACTGGAAGCAACTAGACAGCCATAGCAAACCCTATAAACCCCAAGTGGAGTGTGGGCTGTAAGTGGAATATGAGTTGAGAGGAGCCAGATCCCTAGATATCAGAGAAGTGCTGGTGCTGGTGACTTGGATTGGGCGAGAGATGATTGACAGGCTTTGGTTAGATAGAGGGCGAGAGTCCAGGAAATATTTGAATCCAGATTTTTAAATCTTCTGTATTCTATAGGTTCTCTTCTGTTTTCATCTAGAAATCCTGAGTTTATCTGTTGCCATTATTTGAGAGTCCTAATAGCCCAGGTGACAGTTAACAGGGGGAAGGGGAGAAGGGCATTCTTTTTCTTCTTCTTTAATGTGCGAAAAGTGTTTACCTGCGATGTGTGAGATCTTCTGGCCAGGAGCAAAACCGATGTTTCACAGGCCATGAGGTTGCTGTTGGACCGATTATTTCAATTCTTATTTTCCTATGCCCTTTGAAACTAGAGTTTGAGAGTCTAAAAAAGGAAGGAAAGCATTATCTGTTAGAACATAAAACCAGCTCCTCACCCTCCTCCGCAAAAAGGGAAGAAATAGGCCTTAGCTTCTCTCCAAGGGGGAACATTCTTACAGGGCTGGAAAATCTAGGCAGTGCTAAGAGGAAGGGAGAAACATCAATCCCAATTTTGAAAGCTGCCAGTGGGGGTGTGTGTAGGAGTGAGAGAGACATTCATGTCTGCTCATGACTCTCCCTTGCTTCCTGTCTCCATAACACCCTCCTCTGCCACACATTCTCACATCAGTCTCCTTCCCTCATTCATTCTAATGCACACATGACTCCTGAAACCAATACTACACTGTATGTTAACTCATTTGAATTTAAATAAATTGATTAAATTTTAAAAAAACAATACACACATGACTGATGCTCAGAAAAACACCTCTGCACTAATATATAAATCCATCCACATTGCACTGATACATCCATAAGTATATTCATTATCCAGCAAACACAAGTATCTGAGTATCTGTAATATGCTTTGCACTCTATACTGGAAATGTAAAAAATGGATCAGACGTGGTTTCTGTCCTAAATAGTCTATAATAACAAACCTATAAACACTGACTTGTATGTCCAGAGGTGTACATAAACACATTTCTAAGCCCACAGACATTTCAGTGCAGGTACACCCACTGAGGGGTGTTCATACCAAGATATAAAAACAGAGCTGCTCATTCATAAATTTCACAGGTTCTCGTACGGTTGATATTTGGGGGAGGATCTCCATTTTCCTGTTTTTCCTTTATCAGGTCTTTCATCTCTTTTCAAATTCTAAAATTGATTTCACTTTACAATTCCATTCTTTTCTTATTTCTTGCCTTTAAAAAAAGGATTACTTTTTCTTTAAGATGAATTATTCCCCATGGATAAACTGAAAAAAATGATACCTTCCCCAAGTTAAAAATAAGTAAAGTACCCTCTCAGGAATGAAATCTGTCTTTTTATACTCAGTTGGTACAGTCAAAAGACTGTCAATTTTTATTTATTGATACTTTAATGATGTCTTTCTTACAATGGGTATTTTGAACCATGAAATATAAAACCATTCCATTCTTTTTTATTTATTGCAGGTATTTGAAGAAAGAAGAGCTCTGCTTGGAAAATGGGTAACCATTCAAAATATAGTTACTTCAATGTTATGTCACATTATCATAGAGCCCAAAGAATTCAGTTTGAACATAAACATAACTGAACACTTATTGCCTGAGAAATTTAACTGGTACCATCTGTGTGAATCGATTAGGGTTCTACATTCATGAAGTAGGGTTCCATCTCTCACAAAACAGCATTCAGAAAGGTGAGTTGGGATATGAGACGACCACTTAGTAACCAGCACGGTTCATCCATTGAGCTGCTTAGCATCCATCTACACCCTTCTGCCTCTACTTAAATTTCCAAAGGAAAGCTGTAACAACTTTATGCTTTTATTTAACAAGGTACCACTATTCTTTACACAACTGAAAACTTTCTCACCCTTTCCTCAAGGGAGACACAGAGTCCCAGTGGTCATTGTCCTTCCCTGGGTCATGATCAATCTCTAAGCAGTGTTTACTACTCATCAGATTCCTCTCTGAGCCCCACCTGTCTCTACCACCCAAGAGAACTGAAAGCATACAGTCATGCCAAAATGTGTACATGAATGTTAATAGCAGTATTATTCCTAATAGTCAGAGTGTAAATACCCAAATATCCATTAACTGATGAATAGATAAACAAAATGTGGTCTATTCTTTTTTTTTAACTTATTTTAAATGTTTATTTATTTTTGAGAGAGAGAGACACAGCATGAGTGGGGAGAGGAGCAGGGAGAGAGGGAGACATAGAATCCTAAGTAGGCTCCAGGCTCTGAGCTGTCAGCACAGAGTCCGATGTGGGACTCAAACCCACAAACCGTGAGATCATGACCTGAGCCAAAGTCATATGCTTAACTGACTGAGCCACCCAGGTGCCCCAAAATATGATCTATTCTATGGTAGACTATTATTCAGCCTTAAAAGGGAAGGAAATCCTGATACCTGCTACCACATGGATGAACTTTGAAGGCAATATGCTAAGTGAAAGAAGCCAGACACAAAAGGACAACTATTGTATTGATTCCACTTATATAAGGTACCTAGAGTAGTCAAATTCATAGAGACAGCAAGTAGAATAGAGATTACCAAGGGATGAAGACTTATTATTTAACAAGTACAGAGTTTCAGTTTGGGAAGATGAAAAAGTTCTGCAGATAGATGGTGGTGATGGTCACACAACAGTGTAAATGTACTTAATGCCACAGAACAGTACACTTAAAAGTGGTTAAAATGGTAAATTTTATGTTACATTTATTTTGCTAAAATTTTTTAAAGGTAAGAAAATTTTTAAATTTTTTGAAAGGTAGGAGAAAGGAATAAAGTAATGATACATGCTACAACATGGATGAACCTTAAAAATAATATGCTAAGTAAGGGGCACCTGGGTGGTTCAGTTGGTAAAGCATCCAACTTTGGCTCACGTCATGATCCCGTAGTTTGTGAGTTCAAGCCCCACATCGGGCTCTGTGCTGACAGCTGAGACCCTGGAGCCTGCTTTGGATTCTGTGTCTTCCTCCCTGTCTCTGCCCCACCTCCCCCCTCAAAAATAAATAAACATTGAAAAATTTTTTAAAAAATAATAATATGCTAAGTGAAAAAAACAGA